CAGCGCTTGGCGACCCCATAGGGGGCCCCACCGAAGGTCTCCGCTCTACCGTCCGCCTGCGTCCCGCACACAAAGTACACCGCTTCGTGACCCCATAGGAGCCCCACCGAAGGTCCCCGCTCTACCGTCCGCATGCGTCCCGCGCACCCAGTAAATCGTTTCGTGGCCCCATAGGGAGCCCCACCGAAGGTCCCAATGCTACCGTACGCATGCGGTCCGCACACCCAGTAACAGCGTTTCGTGGCCCTCCTCTCCTTCTTTCTTGCGTTTCACCCACACAGTACAGCGTTTCGTGACCCCATAGGGAGCCCCACCGAAGGACCCCGCTCGACCGTCCGCATGCGTCCCGCGCACCCAGTACAGCGCTTCGTGGCCCCATAGGGAGCCCCACCGAAGGTCCCAGTGATACCGCCCGCATGCGTTCCGCACACCCAGTACAGCGCTTCGTGGCCCCATAGGGAGCTCCACCGCAGGTCCCACTGCTACCGTCCGAATTCGTCCCGCACGCCCAGTAACAGTGTTTCGTGGCCCTCTTCCCTTTCCTCCCTGCGTTTCACCCACCCAGTGCAGCGTTTCGTGGCCCCATAGGGAACCCCACCGAAGGTCCCAGTGCTACCAGCCGCATGCGTCCCGCACACCCTGTACAGCGTTTCGTGGCCCTCCTCCCCCTCCTTCCTGCATTTCACCCACCCAGTACAGCGTTTCCCACCGACGGTCCCAGTGCTACCGTCCGCATGCGTCCCGCGCACCCAGTGCAGCGCTTCGTGGCCCCATAGTGAGCCTCACCAAAGGTTCCAGCGCTACCGTCCGCATGCGTCCCGCACACCCAGTACTGCGTTTCGTGGCCCCATAGGGAGCTCCACCGAAGGCCCCAGTGCCCCCGTCCGCATGCGTCCCGGGCACCCAATTGGGCACTTTCACCCACCCAGTGCAGCGTTTCGTGGCCCCCGTAGGGGGTTCCACCCAAGGCCCCAGTACCACCGTCCGCATGCGTCCAGGAAATGTAATTTGGCATTTTCACCCGCGCAGTGCAGCGCTTCGTGGCCCCATAAGGGGCTCCACCGAAGCCCCCAGTGGGACCGTCCGCATGCGCCCCGGAAACCCAATTTGGCATTTTCACTTGCTCAGTAGAGCGCTTCGTGGCCCCATAGGGAGCTCCACCGAAGCCCTCAGCGGGACCGTCCGCATGCGTCCCAGAAACCCAATTCGGCACACCACCCACACAGTACAGCGTTCCCCCCCGCCCAGTGCAGCGCCTCGTGGCCCCATAGGGAGCTTCACCGAAGCAGATATTCACAATTACGGTACCCACAACTGCATATGGTTGGGACCTTCGCCAGGATAATTTTTGATTTTGGGGCCTACTGTGGGAAGGACCGAAAACCATGCCGTGGTATGGCACTGGAAATGATGACGCCAGCGTTGCAGCGGGAGCACGATTCGGATCGAGCGGAAGCGCGGAAATGAGGCCGGCGCTGCAGCGGGAACACGACTTGGAACGAGCAGTAGCCCGAACATTAAGCCAGCGCTTCAGCGAGAGCAGCATTTTGAAACAAAACCCAAGCGACAACTCGTTTCCTGGAAATCCTGTGTGTAAATTATCCCGGCAAAGCAACCTAACAGCGATGTGTAGGAGCATATCTGGAAGCATTCCCCTTAAGATTCAGATGAGAATCCTGTTGGAGAATTCTGCTGTTCTCGCAGTCGTAGTCGCATTCGCGATGGCAGTCGCAGTGGCAACGGCAGTCGCAGTCACAGCCTCAGCCTCAGCCTGCCTCAGCCTCAGCCTCCGCCTGCCTCAGCCTCAGCCTGCCTCAGCCTCAGCCTCAGCATGCTTCAGCCTCAGCATCAGTCTGCCTTCGGCCTCGGCCTCAGCCTCAGCCTGCCTCGGCCTCAGCCTGCATCAGCCTCAGCCTCAGCCTCAGCCTGCCTCAGCATCAGCCTGCCTCAGCCTCAGCCTCAGCCTGCCTCTGCCTCAGCCTCAGCCTGCTTCAGCCTCAGCCTCAGTCTACCGTCGGCCTCGGCCTCAGCCTGCCTCAGCCTTAGCCTGCATCAGCCTCAGCCTCAGCCTCAGCCTGGCTCAGCCTCAGCCTCAGCCTCAGCCTGCGTCAGCCTCAGCTGCTTCAGCCTCAGCCTGCATCAGCCTCAGCCTGACTTCAGGCCTCAGCCTCAGTATGCCTTCAGCCTCGGCCTCAGCCTCTGCCTGCTCAGCCTCAGATCCCCTCAGCCTCAGGCCTGTCCTGAGCCTCAGCTGCATCAGGCCTCAGATCAGCTGCCTCAGGCCTCAGCTCAAGCCTCAGCCTGCCCTCGGCCTCAGCTTGCATCGGCTCAGCCTTCAGCCTCAGCCTGCATCAGCATCAGCCTGCCTCTAGCCTCAGCCTCAGCCTGCCTCTGCCTCAGCCTCAGCCCTGCTTCCCAGCGTCAGCCTCAGTCTGCCGTCGGCCTCGGTTCAGCCTCAGCCTGCCTCAGCCTCAGCCTCATCAGCCTCAGCCTCAGCCTCAGCCTGCCTCAAGCATCGGCTGCCTCAGCCTCAGCTCAGCCTCAGGCCTTCAGGTCCTGCTCAGCCTCAGCCTGCTTCAGCTCAGCTCAGTCTGCCTCAGCCTCAGCCTGCCTCAGCCTCAGCCTCAACCTGCTTCAGCCTCAGCCTCAGTCTGCCTGCAGCCTCAGCCTCAGCCTGCCTCAGCCTCAACCTCAGCCTGCCTCAGCCTCAGCCTGCCTCAGCCTCAGCCTCAGCCTGCTTCAGCCTCAGCCTCAGTCTGCCTGCAGCCTCGGTCTCAACCTCAGCCTGCCTCAGCCTCAGCCTGCCTCAGCCTCAGCCTCAGCCTCAGCCTCAGCCTGCCTCAGCCTCAGCCTGCCTCAGCCTCAGCCTCAGCCTGACTCAGCCTCAGCCTGCCTCAGCCTCAGCCTCAGCCTGCCTCAGCCTCAGCCTCAGCCTCAGCCTGCCTCAGCCTCAGCCTGCATCAGCCTCAGCCTCAGCCTCAGCCTGCCTCAGCCTCAGCCTGCCTCAGCCTCAGCCTCAGCCTGCCTCTGCCTCAGCCTCAGCTTGCTTCAGCCTCAGCCTCAGTCTGCCGTCGGCCTCGGTCTCAGCCTCAGCCTGCCCAGGAATGGAGTTCTGGGAACTCGAAGACCACGAAGTGGCCCACAGTTGGCTCCAGGCATTTATGATGTGGGCCGGGAATGGAGTTCTGGGAACTCGAAGAGCACGAAGTGGCCTACACTTGGCTCCGGGCATTCAAATGTGGCCCGAGAATGGAGTTCTGGGAACTCGAAGACCACGAAGTGGCCTACAGTTGGCTCCGGGCATTCAGAATGTGGCCCGGGAATGGAGTTCTGGGACCTCGAAGACCACGAAGTGTGTAAGTGTTGGGGAAAAAAGTCACAGGCACTTCCCCGGATCGCGCCCAGACCCCCCTGGGGCGTCATGATGCCCTACTAGAAACATATCAGTCTTCGCTTTTAGGTAAAACCAGTACCCGGAGGGGGGGCATCATTTCTTCTTGGGTTTACAATAGTCCTCCTCCTGGGTTTACAGGAGGAGGGGAGCCAGCAACGATGTCGGAATTCACTCTCCCTCCAAGCTCTCTCTCTTCATAGGCCCCTACGACGGTTCATTTCCATTGAGGGAACTGCCCCGCTGGGAGATAACCGTTTGAAGATCCCGAATCATGTCGGTTCTCGGGATGTTCAACGCCACGTTTCAACCTTACTGCTGCGTCTTGACGATCCGGAATCGTGCCAGAACGCCATTGTTGGGATTCCATCACCGCGAACCAACATAACTGCTGCACCCGCATTGTCCTGAATCCTTCCAATCACACAATTTCTGGTACGCTGATAGTGGGAATCCGCGAACCTCTTGCAACCGTTTAAAAGGAATGTGCGCGGCACTAAAGCGAGAGCCTCATTGTAAAAAGGAACCGGCTCCAATCCGTAAAGTGTTTGTTTGAGAATTTTAGAAACGAATGCGCGCGGCACTAAGGCGAGAGCCACATTTTGAAAACGACCCACCCTCAATCCATGAAGCCCTTGTAAATTGTGGAAACGAGTGTGCGCGGCGCTAAGGCGAGAGCCACATTTTGAAAACGACCCGCCTCCCATCCGTGAAACACTTGCAATGTTTTAAAACGAATGTGCGCGGCGCTAAGGCGAGAACCACATTTTGAAAACCACCCGCCCTCAACCCGTGAAACCCTTACAAAGTTTGGAAACGAATGTTCGCGGTTTTAAGGCGAGAGCCACATCTTGGAAACGACCCGCCTTCCACCCGCGAAACCCTTACACATGTTTCAAACGAATGTGCGCGGCGCTAAGGCGAGAGTCACATTTTGAGTCTGATCCGTCCTCCATCCGTGAAGCTCGTGCAATTCTTCAAAGCGAATGTTCGCGGTTTTTAAGGCGAGAGCCACATTCTGGAAACGACCCGCCCTCCATTTGCGAAGCTGCTGCCATTTCCAAGCTTCAGAGTCATAAATGGTGAGGACGTCCCAGGCGAAACGCCAAACCCGCCCTAAAGACTTGCCTCGGTGTGCGACAGGGAGACATTATTCTCAAGGAGATGGAGTGGAGGAGGAGGAGGAGGAGGAGGAGGAGGAGGAGGAGGAGGAGGAGGAGGAGGGTCGAGGAGGTCGAGGAGGAGGAGGAGGAGGAGGAGGAGGAGGTGGAAGAGGAGGAGGAGGAGGGGAGGAGGAGGAGGAGGAAGGGAAGGGGAGAAGGAGGAGGAGGAGGAGGGAGGAGGAGGCGGAGGAGGAGGAGGAGGAGGAGGTGGAAGAGGTGGGAGGAGAGGAAGGGGAGGAGGAGGAGCAGGAGGAGGAGGAGGAGGTGGAGGAGGAGGAGGAGAAGGAGGAGGAGGAGGAAGAGGAAGGGGAGAAGGAGGACGAAGAGCAGGAGGAGGAGGAGGAACAGTAAGGCTCCGTGCTGTTCCTCGGGCCCCCTGCGGGCGCTCCGCCGCGGCGGCCCCCGCTGCGGCCCGGGGGCACGGGGCCCGCGCGGGGCTGCCGGAGGACCTCTTCCGCAACAGGAACGGCCAGGGCGACTCGCCGCCGGAGAGGCTCCGAGGCCGCGCGGCCGTTTTGGTCCTCCTCCTCCTCCTCCTCCGCCTCTCCTCCTCCTCTACCTCCTCCTCCTCCTCCTCCTCCTCCTCCTCCTCCTCCTCCCTCCCCCTCCCCCTCCCCCTCCTCCCCCCCCCCTCCTCCTCCTCCTGCTCTCCTCCTCCTCCTCCTCCTCCTCCTCTTCCTCCTCCTGCTGCTCCTCCCTCCCTCCCTCCCAGCCTCAGGCACTGCCCCCGCTCGGCCGGCGCCAACCTGAGCCCTGCTCAGGCCGTGATGGGCCCACTTTCCAGGACCATCACCATAGGTAGGAGAGGGGAGGGGGGGGGAAGAGGAGGAGGAGGAGGAGGAGGAGGAGGAGGAGGAGGAGGAGGAGGAGAAGGAGGGGAGGGAGCAGGAGGCGAGGACGAGGAGGAGGACCTCCACAAGCATTCCATATGAATACTGCTCTCCTCTCTCCCCTGGCTACGTCCAGGAAGTGTCGGGCCCCCCTCCGCGTACGGGTTGTTTGCACACAGGATTCCCAGTAGTTGGGTTTTCGCTTGGGCTTGTTTTCGAAATGTTGCTCTCGCTGAAGCGCTGGCTTCATTTTCGGGCTACCGCTCGTTCCGAATCGTGCTCCCGCTGCAGCGCTGGCATCATTTCCGCGCTTCCGCTCGTTCCGAACCGTGCTCCCGCTGTAGCGCTGGCGTCACTCTCTTGCACATGGTGTCTAGAGCTCGGGCCACTTGATTTCGGCGTCGTCGCACCGACCTCACCCCAGCGTTGCCCAGCAGCGTTGACCGCCCCTCCCCGCCCCCATCCGCCACCTCGTCCCCAGCAGCCCAGCGCACCGCCCCCTCCGCCGCGACCCTTTTATTTCGGCGTCGTCGCACCGCTCCCCCCCTGTCGCGCCGCCCTCACACTCACACTCACACTCACACTCACACTCACATTCACACTCACACTCACACTCACACACTCACACACACACACACACACACACCGCGCCCGCCCTCCCAGACGCCCCGCGCACCGCCCCCTCCGCCGCGACCATTGTATTTCGATGTCGTCGCACCGCCCCCCTCGCCGCTCCCTTCCCCTCCGTCGCACCGCCCTCGCCCACCTCCCCCGCGCCCCGCCCTCCCCAGCAGCCCAACGCGCCGCCCCCTCCGCCGCGCTAACTTCATTTAGGCGTCGTCGCACCGCCCTCAGCCCCCCCCCTTCCCCAGCAGCCCAGCGCGCCGCCCCCTCCGCCGCGACAACTTTATTTCGTCGTCGTCGCACCGTCCCCCCCCCCGTCGCACCGCCCTCACCCCCTCCCCGCATCCGCCCTCCCCAGCAGCCCCTTCCCCAGCAGCCTGGGCTGTCTTGGAGGCCACCTTCGCTGTCTTGGAGGCCTTCTTGGCCGTCTTGGAGGCATCTTGGAGGCCATCTTGGCCGTCTTGGAGGCCATCTTCGGGGTCTTCTGGGCCGTCTTGGGCCGTCTTGGGCTCTTCTTGGGGCCCTCTTGGGGGCCTCTTGGGCTGTCATGGGGCTATCTTGGAGGCCTCTTGGGCGCTCTTGGGACGATGGTGGGGGCCTCTTGGGCCGTCTTGGGCCGTCGGAGAGCTGATAAAAAATATCCCGGCAAAGCAACCTAACAGCGATGTGTAGGAGCATATCTGGAAGCATTCCCCTTAAGATTCAGATGAGAATCCTGTTGTAGAATTCTGCTGTTCTCGCAGTCGTAGTCGCATTCGCGATGGCAGTCGCAGTGGCAACGGCAGTCGCAGTCACAGTCACAGCCTCAGCCTTGCAGCCTCAGGCTCACCATGCCTCAGCCTCAGCCTGCCTCAGCCTCAGCCTCAGCCTGCTTCAGCCTCAGCCTCAGTCTGCCTTCAGCCTCGGCCTCAGCCTCAGCCTGCCTCAGCCTCAGCCTGCATCAGCCTCAGCCTCAGCCTCAGCCTACCTCAGCATCAGCCTGCCTCAGCCTCAGCCTCAGCCTGCCTCAGCCTCAGCCTCAGCCTCAGCCTGCTTCAGCCTCAGCCTCGTCTGCCTTCAGCCTCGGCCTCAGCCTCAGCCTGCCTCAGCCTCAGCCTGCATCAGCCTCAGCCTCAGCCTCAGCCTGCCTCAGCATCAGCCTGCCTGCCTCAGCCTCAGCCTGCCTCAGCCTCAGCCTCAGCCTGCTTCAGCCTCAGCCTCAGTCTGCCTTCAGCCTCGGCCTCAGCCTCAGCCTGCCTCAGCCTCAGCCTGCATCAGCCTCAGCCTCAGCCTCAGCCTGCCTCAGCATCAGCCTGCCTCAGCCTCAGCTGGCCTCAGCCTCAGCCTCAGCCTGCTCAGCCTCAGCTCAATTCTGCCTTCAGCCTCGGCCATCAGCCTCAGCCTGCCTCAGCCTCAGCCTCAGCCTCAGCTCAGCCTGCTCAGCCTCAGCCTGCCATCAGCCTCCGCCTCAGCCTGCAGCCTGCCTCAGCCTCAGCCTCAGCCTGCCTCAGCCTCAGCCTCAGCCTGCCTCAGCCTGCCTCAGCCTGCCTCAGCCTCAGCCTCAGCCTGCCTCAGCCTGCCTCAGCCTCAGCCTCAGCCTGCCTCAGCCTCAGCCTCAGCCTGCCTCAGCCTCAACCTGCCTCAGCCTCAGCCTCAGCCTGCCTCAGCCTCAGCCTCAGCCTGCTCTTCCTGCCTCAGCCTCAGCCTCAGCCTGCCTTCAGCCTCAGCCTCAGCCTCTGCCCCTCAGCCTCAGCCTCGGCCTCAGCCTCAGGTCAGCAGCCTCGGCCTTCAGCCTCAGCTGGCCTCAGCCTAATCAGCAGCTCAGCCTCAGCCTCAGCCTGCCTCAGCCTCAGCCTGCCTCAGCCTCAGCCTCAGCCTCAGCCTCAGCCTCTTGCCTTAGCCTCAGCCTCAGTCTGCCTTCAGCCTCGGCCTCGGCCTCAGCCTCAGCCTCAGCCTGCATGCCTCAGCCTCAGCCTCAGCCTCAGCCTCAGCCTCAGCCTGCCTCAGCATCAGCCTGCCTCAGCCTCAGCCTCAGCCTGCCTCAGCCTCAGCCTGCTTCAGCCTCAGCCTCAGTCTGCCTTCAGCCTCGGCCTCAGCCTCCGCCTGCCTCAGCCAGCCTCAGCCTCAGCCTCAGCCTCAGCCTGCCTCAGCAAGCCTCAGCCTGCCTCAGCCTGCCTCAGCCTCAGCCTCAGCCTGCTTCCTCAGCCTCAGTCTGCCTGCAGCCTCCTCAGCCTCCTGCCTCAGCCTCAGCCTCAGCCTCAGCCTGCCTCAGCCTCAGCCTGCCTCAGGCCTCAGCCTCAGCCTCAGCCTCAGCCTCAGCCTGCCTCAGCCTCAGCCTCAGCCTGCTTCAGCCTCAGCCTCAGTCTGCCTTCAGCCTCGGCCTCAGCCTCAGCCTCATGCCTCAGCCTCAGCCTGCCTCAGCCTCAGCCTCAGCCTGCCTCAGCCTCAGCCTGCCTCAGCCTCAGCCTCAGCCTGCCTCAGCCTCAGCCTCAGCCTGCTTCAGCCTCAGCCTCAGTCTGCCTTCAGCCTCAGGCCTCAGCCTCAGCCTGCCTCAGCCTCAGCCTGCATCAGCCTGAGCCTCAGCCTCAGCATTCAAAATGTGGCCCGGGAATGGAGTTCTGGGAACTCGAAGACCACGAAGTGGCCTACAGTTGGCTCCGGGCATTCAAAATGTGGCCCGGGAATGGAGTTCTGGGAACTCGAAGACCACGAAGTGGCCTACAGTTGGCTCCGGGCATTCAAAATGTGGCCCGGGAATGGAGTTCTGGGAACTCGAAGACCACGAAGTGGCTTACAGTTGGCTCCCGGCATTCAGAATGTGGCCTGGGAATGGAGTTCTGGGACCTCGAAGACCACGAAGTGTGTAACTGTTGGCTAAAAAAATCCCTGGCACTTCCCCGGATCGCGCCCAGACCCCCTTGAAGCGTCATGATGTTTTCTTTTGACCCTACTAGAAACCTATCAGTCTTCGCTGTTAGGTAAAAATTCCAACATCCTTCTAACACCTTAGGGAAATCAATGATTTTTGCCTTTTCGGGCCTTCCTGGAGGACGTCTTGGAGGGCTCTCGGGGGCCGTCTTGGACGCCTCTTGCAGGCCTTTTGGGCAGTCTTAGGCCATCTTGAGGCCATCTAGGGCCGTCTTAGGTGCATCTTGGGGCCATCTTGGCCGTCTTTGAGGCCTTCTTGGCCGTCTTGGAGGCATGTAGGAGGCCATCCTGGCAGTCTTAAGTGCAAGCTGGGGCTTGGGGGCCTCTTAGGCCGTCTTGGGCTCTTCTTGGGGCCGTCATGGGGGCCTCTTTGGCCGTCCTGGGGCCGTCTTGGAAGCTTCTTGGGCACTCTTGGGGCGATCTTGATGGGCTCTTGGGCAGTCTTGGGCCGTTGAAAGGCCGAAAAGGAGCAGAAGCCAAAATCTCTTCGGGCCGTCCTTGGGGACCCTGGAGGACCTCTTCGAGGCCTTGTGGGCCGTCTCGGAGGCCTCTTGCAGCCTCTGGGGCCGTCTTGGGCCGTCTTAGGTGTTTCTTGTGCGAACTTGGAGGCATCCTGGACTCTCTTGGCCGTCTTAGAGGCCATCTTGGGCGACCTTGGAGGCCATCTTAGGCCATCTTGGAGGCCATCTCGGAGCCGAAACACCCTTTTCAACCACCTGCTGTGCATCTTTGCGCGCCCTTCTGGGTGGCCGGCGGGACGGGCCGAAGCCCCAGGGGAGTTCTGGAAAAGAACCAAAACCAAAACCGAAAGGGTCTAGCACGCCGGGCACCCCTGTGGCAAGCACACGAGGGGCGGCGGATTTCGGCGTCGTCGCAATGGCCCCCCCTCCCCCCGTCGTATTCCTGGGTGAGCCAAGTACCAGGACAGAAGGGTCTTCAGCCTCCTCATCGTCTTCCTTCTCCTCCTCGTCCTCATCCCCGGTCCAGCTCATGTTGTTGCTACAGGTCGTGCTTATCATCGTAAGTCCTCGCTTTATCAGCGATGGGAGATAGATATGTCCCTCAGCCTGCGCTGAAGTCGCAAATTCTAGCTCCACGGTAGCGTTGTATTAGCCACGGTTTGATTGACAGCGTGGGCGATAGTTGCCACTGCGTATAGGATGGAAACGAAGTTGGGCAATGCAGACAGCCTGTCGTTATGCGAGCATCTCTGGGCACCCGATGAGTATGTATACATGTGTACATGCATGCTGCCGTACACGCATGTATTGTCCAGCGTCGCCTTTTTGCGAGCGTCGACGAGAAGCCCGCATTGTGTGGGTAGTCATCTCGCATGTTATGGGTGCGCTGGCAGGGCGCGCAATGTACAAAAAGGCGCGCGGCAGCGTGCAACATATTTGCCGCGCCCGACGAAGAAGCATGAAGGTATCCCACGGTGGTCAACGTGAGTCGCACCAACGAATAGGAGGCCCCCCTTCCACAAGTTACGACAGACGCTAGTCTGCGAGTTCATCGAGGGAGTCTTGTCGGTTTCGACGCGAGGTTTGCATCATCGGGAGAGAACCTGGACTATGTTCACAGCATCAGAGCTGCTCGCCAGACGGCATCGGACTTCTCCATGGTCACATTTAACCCAGGCAAGGGTATTGTTGTGTGGTGCTTTGCCCTTAGCGGCGACGGAATCCTACGCAGGCGTATGAGCCGTCAGAAATGCAACGCGAGTTCATTTGGACCATGGATTCTTTCGCGATTGGAAACAGCTGGAGATACCGTAAGGGTACCATAATCAAGTTAGCCTGATCTGTCTGCTGATCGTTTCTCATCCAGCGAGCCAGGGCCAAAGCCATTTTGATTTCTAAACCGGTCGAAGCCGCACTCTAGTCTACGACGGAGATTGTCTTTCGGAGGCCCGCAGGACATGCTTGAACGGGTGCTTGTTGAACCTCTGCTCATCTTACAGTACTGATCGCCTTCGATGTCTTCAGTATGTGGGGCGCCACCAGTGATCGGCCACAAGTCCGTGGCCCGTCAAGATTGGCACGCGTGTGAGGTTCATTCGAGCACGCAGACGTCATCAGACGACCATAGCGCTTGCCCGCGCTGGGTAGCACATATGCCGGGGCATTCACACGCTATGCGCTCGGAAGAGTTGATATGCGGAGCAGACGGGGGCATAACCGGATGAACCACGAGGATGAAGATTCAGAACATGGAAAAGGATGATGTGGAAGATGAGAGCACGCAGCGCAGGGGAGCCTTGGGGATGCGAAGCACTCGGCCACCAGCGGCGCAGGCTTCGGCTTCGAGCGTCCGGCAGAGCGGAACTGCTACGGCCGCACCCAGGACGGGCAGAGGGGGTGTCTGTTTCGGGCAGGGGTGGGGCAATGGGCACGTGTCGAGAATCGGCGGCGAGCCCGCGAAGGAAGGCAGAGGGGGCGGCCCTTTTTCGGATTGCTCAGAAGGCCTACAGCCAAGACGCTGAAATAAGGAGCAGTTTGGATTCGGAAGGGGCTCGATGTTCCTTACGTCCTTCCGTGGTTGTTCCTCTAGCCCTTCTCGTGCACCCAGGCGGTTTTGAAGCCACAAAAGGGCTTCGTTCCTTATTTAGCGTTCCTTATTTCAGCAGCCCGACTGTATGGCCTTCTGAGAGGTTTTCTGAGACTACTCCGAAAACGCAGGGGCGTTTCAGAAGGCTAGGGGTCTTCTGAGAAGCTCCGTCGCCTGCTGAAAGGCCTGCCCCCTCTCGCTTCTCTCCTGGGCTCGCCGCCGAAGAAGGGGTTGAAAGAAAGGCGGAAGTCACGTGGCAGGACAGGGAGGGAACGCGGCGGAGAGGGCCACGCAGGCACCTGCGATGCTGGAGCCGTGCTTGAAACATGGGGGCAGGCAGTGTGGGCGAGGTTTGGCCGGTTAGAAAATCTTGTGTGGGCGCGTGAAGGGCGTGCTGACTCCCCCCCTGGCCGTCGAAATGAAATACAGCGCCTCCGCCTCCTCTTCCGCGATGTCTTCGTTACCTCAACAGGTGTTTCTGTCCCAGGGAGTGTGATCTTGTGCCTTCGCCTCCTTTGACACGCGCAGCCAGCGCCAAAGAAGCCTTTGTCAAGTATTGGCGCCCTCCAGACCGTTTAGGATCTGGGCGGAGGGGCACCTCAACAGCACTGTGCCAGCTTGTAAGTGTGTTCTGTTCTTCCTTGCGATCACTATTTGACATTATGGGTTCCGGGCGAGTGTCCCGGTCCCATGCGGGTGAGTGTCCAGGTGTTTGGCTCCGTTTCAGCGAGACGATAGGCCAACGGAGGAGCCGAGAGTCCATCTTCGCGACATTCCTCAGTAGAGGATCGGATTGAGAGCAACGGCAGGTCTTACACTGTCTCTTGGCGCGTGATTGCATTGCGGACTGACTTGCTGGATTCTCATACCTGGGCATGCGTATCATTCAAGGGTCAGGGGCCGTTTCACGGACGTTAATGAGGAGGAACGTGGTGAAGGAGGAAGTTCGAGGAGGGGGAGGAACAAAATTACGTGATGTGATGGGTGACAGGGAGGAGGATTTTTGTGAGCACAGCCGCTGCGCTGCATGCGGACAGCACACTAACCTACGACATTGTCCCACGTGGGGCAGTGGGCGCCACATCGGGCGCCCAGGGCGGATAAGGAGGAGGAGGAGGAGGAGGAGGAGGAGGAGGGGGAGGAGGAAGGGTGCCACCCTCGTAGCGATGCGGCTGGTAATGGAGGGTGACGATTCATAAATGACGGGGGGTCGTGTTCACGCGGCGGCGCCCGGAATGACGAGTAGAAAAGACAGGCCGCGGGCTGGACAACTTTTTTTTTGTTAAAAAAAAAAAAATCGTTCTCCGCCAGTTAGAAAAGTGTGCAGAAATAGCAGGAAACTATTTTGTTTAATCGTTCTCTCCCATTTGTTTTATGAATCGTCATTCTGAATTATGTGGTTTTCTTTGCATCTCGTGGGTAAACATCCCAGTTCGAGAGACGCACTTAAGCGCAGCATTCGAATGCTAATCGTGAGATAGTGTGGTGTCTCTCCTGTTGTCGCTCGGTCTCTAGCTCTCGGATGCGGAAGACCGTGGCGACGTTCAACTGGTTCAACAGGATGAGGATATAGGAGGAGGGACACGAAGGGTGGGAGGATGAGAGGGGAGGCGGGGAAAGTGCAGAGTGGGAGGATGAGGACAATATTGACAACACAAATTCTTGACGCTTCGCGTGTCCCCGCCAGATACACGCCGCCCCCCCCCCCCCTCCCCCCCCAGCAGTGGAGCGGTCTGCGGAGTGTGTGGGCGGTTCTGGTACCTGCAGTTCACCGACTCTCATTGTGGTTTTGTTGTGGCAGGTCCAGTCTTGGCTACACCCCTACGCCTTCAAGCTGGCTGCGGCTGCAGCGTACCTCCGCAGCCCTCGGCCGTTACCCGATGGCAGCAGTACTGACGCTTGGGCATGCGTGTCGTATCATCGTGGCTTCAGACTTGTGAGTGGTTTCGGATTCGCTGGCTGGCCGGCCCCACCACGGGCAACGGTGTGGATCGCGGAGTGAGCACTCTGTAGGTTCCTGCCTCTTTTGCCCCTGTCTTAGCCGACGTCGGCACGGCTGTGTTACCCCGGTACTACCTGTACGGGATAGGTCGGCCGCGCGGGCTGGCGCCGACAGGGCGACTCTCCGCTGCCGAATGAGGAGCATGTTGCTCAGTGCACGTGCACTTGCATTCATTGCTTGTTGTTACTGCAGGTGTGTTGCCTGTTGCAGCAATTCGCCTCGCCTGCTGGCCCAGTCGACGCCTTCCGCTCCGTGTCCGCCGCCTCGGAACCGCTGACCAAAAAAGTGTCCCCACCAGATGCCGCTTGTCCACTTCGGTTCACACTGCGGCGCCTATGTGCGTTTGCTTGTGAATTTAGTTCATTTTGTTCTGTGCATGTGCAACTGCGCACTTGCTGTGCAGGTGCGAACTGGCTTGCCTCCGTGGTTGCTGTGTTCGCAAATTCGCCTCGTGCCGCATCCCGGACGCCGCTTCCGCTCCTTGACCTTTGCTTCGGAGCCGCCGACCCCCCCAAAAAAGTGTCCCCACCAGATTTTTCGTTAGCCGCGCTTTGATTTGACGCCGTGCGACTTCTCGCTACGGTCGCGAAACAAGAAATGCCCCCACCAGATACTTCGACGGCGTCCGGCTCCTCCGGCGCGCTCGCGATCAAACAAAACATGTCCCCACCAGCTCGCCTGAGCTCCGCCCCGCACCGGGCTTTGCTCGTCGCCTCTTTTTTCCGCAGCCGGTGGCATAGCCTGCCCTTGCTGGCCCGGCGTTCGGCCCGTTTCGCGCGCCCGCGTACAAAAAAATATCCCGTCCAGCCCATCCAGGCACGATCGGAGTCTTTCTTGAGGCCTCGTGGATGCTATCTTGAGCAATGTTCGGCTGCAGGCTGTCGGGGGCCATCCTGAGCTTATGGGGCTCTCTGAGGGCCCCCTGCGCAGCCTCTTGGGCCACTCTTGGGGCTCATGTTGGGGGTCATCGGGCCCTCTTGGGGCTCTTTGGATGGGTTTGGGAGGCCTCGGGGGACAAATTCAGCGCCCCCCCTCTTCGAAGGCTCAAAACGAGCGTCTTGAGGCTGTTTCGGGGCGCTCTTGGAGCGCTCCTGGGCGTTCTCGGGATCCTCTTTGGGCCCTCTTGCGCCCCTCTTGGGATTCCCTCGGGCCGTCTTGGGGCCATCTGGATGAGGCCTCAAGAGCCCATCATAAGCGAAAAAGAGATAAACAATGCAAGCGACACTACCATAAGTTTGCGAAGGATGTTGGCCCCTTGATGGGGGTCGTTGGAGCGCTCGGAGGGCACTTGGACTCGGTCTGGGGCTGTCTTGAAGCCTCTTGGATGTTTGTCAGAGGCTATCTTGAGCCACATTGAGTTGATATTGGGCCATCTTGGAGGACATCGTGGCCTCCTGCGATCCTGCGACCCTCTTGGAGCCATCTTGGGCGCTCTAACGACGGGTTCCCCCTCCCAGGCCTAGGGGAGGGGGTAGGGGGAGGGGTCAAGACCCCCTCCCCGCCCGCAAGCCGTCTCGCTCACTCTTACCCGCCCTCCCAACACGCACGTAGAACCAGAGCTTGGCCCGAGCCTCGGCATATTCAGCATTCGTTGGATGGGCAGCTACTGGGAGCCAATCCGCCACCGCCGCCGCTGCCTCCGCCGCCGCCGCTTGCCGCCGAGGCCGCCGCGCCGCCACCGCCGCCGCCGCTGTCCGCCGCGCCGCCGCCCGCGCCGCCCGCCGACGCCGCCGCCGCCGCCGCCGCCGCCGCCTCCGCGCCGCCCGCCCGCCGCCGCCGCCGCCGCCGCCGCCGCCGCCGCCGCCCCCGTTGCCAAATCGCCGCCGCCGCAGCCGCTGCCGCCGCAGCCGCCGCCGCCGCCGCCACCGCCGCCGCCGCCGCCGCCACCGCCGCCGCCGTCGCAGCCAAATCGCCGTCGCCGCAGCCGCCGCCGCCGCCGCCGCCGCCGCCAAGTGTACTCTGTGTTGTTTTTGACAGGGATGGTGGGGGGAGGCCGCACAGGGTGGACTGCGCATGTTCCGAATTTGGAGGCAGAGTGTGTTTGTGTATTGTTTTTTTTTTTTTTTTACAAAAGGGATGGTGGGGGGGTGCCCGCATTGTTCCCGGTTGGCTCCCAGTCGCCTGGGGGAGGGGGTGTTTACTAATAGGGAACAGTGCGCAAAACACCCTCCTGATAGCAAGCCGTCCAGCTCACTCCCACCCGCCCTCCCTACACATACGTAGCACCCGAGCCTCACCATGTTCCGCGGTCGTCGTTTGATGGACAGACACTGGGAACCAAGCCGAGCCTATGTGCGCGACGCTGGGGCGAGGTGCGCCACGCGTGCATTGCGCGCCACGCGCGCCAGGCACCCATGGGGCCCGAGCGTGCCAGGCACGCCTAGTGCGCCAGATGCTCCCTCCAGCCGCGCAAGGTGCGCCACGTCGGGGGCACGTGCAGAGTGTGTCATGTGCGCCTGCGCACGTGAGTGCACACATCGGGAAACATGTCGGCCCCCACCATTCTTGTCGAAAACCTTGTTCATCATTGTGTCTGGTGGGCCTGCGCACAGCAGGCCATACGCCACCACCCCCGCCGTCCCTGACAAAAACTTCTTGACAATGATCGCGGGGTGGCCGCGCAGTATCCACTTGTAGCCGCGAGGTGCATTTTGTATCGTGTGTGTGTGTTGTCCGGGATGGTAGCACTGCGCGCAGCAGGCGATTTGCTGACACCACCGCCATCCCTTTCGAAAAACAATACAAACTGCCCGTGGGCCTCACGAACATGACTCCAGACTCTGCCCCAAAGTGTATTGTGCATTGTGTTTTGACAAAGTTGGGGGGGCGAATTGGGTTGGTTGCGCATGCCCCGAAGTTGGAGGCAGAGTGTTTTTTGGGTATTGCTTTTTGACAGGGATGGTGGGTGGGGTGGGGGCCTTCATGGTGTGCGCATGGTTCCGGGTTGCCTGCCGGCCGGGTGCTGAGGGGGCGTTTTACTAATGGGGAACAGTGATCAAGCTACCCACCCGCCCGCAAGCCGTCTTGATCACGCCCAGCCGCCCCCCCAACACATCAGGAACACCCAGATGCCAGCATATCGCGCGAGTACGCCGCAGACGCCACGGGTTCCAGATGCACCAGGCCTTGGAGGCCCACGCGTGCCAGGCGCGCCGGGTGCGGCACGTGCCAGGGCGCCAGGAAGGCCGGTTGAAAACCAGGCGTTGCTGGCGCCCCTGGAGGAGGAGGAGGAGGAGGAGGAGGAGGAGGAGGAGGAGGAGGAGGAGGAGGAGGAGGAGGAGGAGGAGAGGAGGAGAAGGAGGAGGAGGAGGGGGGGGGAGGAGGAGGAGGGAGGAGGAGGAGGAGGAGGAGGAGGAGGAGGAGGAGGAGGAGGAGGAGGAGGAGGAGGAGGAGGAGGAGGAGGAGGAGGAGGCGGAGGAGAAGGAGGAGGAGGAGGAGGAAGAGTTTGTGTAACGCGAGCAAATTCACACAACCGCTTGCTTGTGAGAGCTTCGTCGGATTTCGACGCTGCGGCCTCGTGGTCGGAGTGTCGGGTCGTCTCTTGGGCCGTCACTCGTGGGGCCCTCCTGGGAGCCGTGGAGAGCCTCTGAGGGCCATCTTGGAGGCAATCGAGCAAACACATGGGGGAGAACTGTCAGCCACCCCCTTTATTTGGGGTTAGCCCCCCCTTCAGGGGCCCTCAAAACAGCCTCTTGGGGCCCTCTTTGGGCCACCCTGTGGCGCTCTTGTCTTGGAGGCCTTGTGGGCCCGGCTTGGAGCTCCCTTGGACCATCCACCTGGAGGCCTCCCCCTCTGGGGCCCTCAAAACCGCCTCTTGGCGCCCTCGTGGCGCCAACTTGGGGCGTTCTTGGGGCCGGTTTGGAAGCCTCCTGGGCCAGGTTTTGAGCTTGCTGTGTCAATTTTGCAGCCATCGAGAGGTTTCGAAAGCCCATTGGAAACGATAAGGCGAAAAGGCAGCAGCCACTAACGTGTCAAACCAGTCGGTCGACCACCTGCGCCCAGAAGGCAGGTGGGATCTGCTGGCGCCCCGGCCGCCCCTGCAAAATACCAATACAAAATGGTCGCGGGGCGGCTGCGCATGCTCCACATGTGGAGGCAGAATGCATTTGTTTTAATTGTTTTTTGATAGGGATGGTGGGGGTGTCGCCCTCATTGCGTTATTATTGTTCTGGGTTGGCTGCCGGCTGGGTGGGGGAGTGGGTGTATATTAACAAGGAACAGTGATCGAGGCCCCCCCAAGACCGCAAGCCGTCTCGCTCACTCCCACCCGCCCTCCCAACACACAAGTAGTACCCGAGTCTCAGCACATCGCCGAGGATCGCCACGCATGGCATGTGCGCCACGGGTTCAGGTGCATTAGGCACCCTGGAGGTCCAAGCGTGCGAGGCGCGGCAAGTGCGGCACGTGCTCCATCCGCGCCAAGTGCGCCACGTGCTCCATCCGCGCCAGGTGCGCCACGTGCTCGGCGCGCGCAGTGCGTGCGAGGTGCGTGCCAGGTGCGTGGCGCCCGTTCATGCTCTGGATTTGGAGGCAAAGTGCATTCTGCATTGTTTTTTCTGGCAGGGACGGTCGGCTTACGCGCAATTTGAGCGCAACACACAGCATGCCGGCACCCCCGCCGTTCCTGTCAAAAACCAATGCAGAGTGGTCGCGGGGCGCCCGCGCATGTTCGACATGTGGAGGAAGAGTGAATTCTGTATTGTTTTCTGACAGGGATGGTTGGGGGGGAGGCATATCCCGGGTTGACCCACAGTCGGGCGGGGGAGGGGGAGTTTATTATTCAGGCGCACTGGTAACCCACCCCTTTATTTACGAGCACTGGTAACCACCCCCCCAGCAGGGGAAGGAGGGATTTTGCCTGAGAGAGGACCAAGTTCGTTATGCCACCTACGCGCAGAGGGCTGGTTAGATTAGGCCACAGAGGAGGGTAACGACGACGGGGATGACAAGGTATGCGGACTGATGAGGCGAATGAGGGTGGAAAGCCGAGGAGGGTGAGGCAGGACATAATGATGGCGGACGAAGAGGCGGGATGAGGAGCAGGAGAGGGACAGGACCATCCCATGGCAGGACGACGAGGAGGGGGAGCGAGGAGGAAAAATCACGACTAGAGCAATCACGAGATGTGGCCACGGTGCTGAGCGTGCCTGTTCCTCCTCCCCCACCTCCTCCTCCTCCTCCTCCTCCTCCTCCTCCTCCTCCTCCTCCTCCTCCTCCTCCTCCTCCCCCACTCGGCTCTACAGGCGTGCCCCTTCACCGCGCGAGGCGCGCCCCCCGTTGACGACGGGCGCGCCGAGGGATCCGCAGGTCAGGCGGGAGCCCTCCTCGGGAACCAGCTGTGGTCCGCCATTCGAGCAGGGAGAGCGACCAGATCGGGCCATAATTCATCGAGAACGAAAGAGCTCCTGACCTTCACAACACGATGCAGGCGTGCCCTCGCTTTGGCTCCCGTCTCTCGCACTAGGGATGGTACATCTGGTCGGGTCCGACTGGCACATCGAAAACAAGACCTATCCCTAATGTTGCTGGTCCTCCTGACGTAGGTCCCCCCCAAAGGGCTAGGGGTGCTTCTGTCGCTTCTCAAAACCGTCCGAGGATGTGCCCATCGACAGCCCCGGCTCGAGAAGGAGCCACCCTCCACCTATGGAGCTGCTGCGCAAGTTTCGACTCTAGCCATCAAGTCGAACGAAAGCTCAAGCGAGAGCTCAGTGTGGAACAAGAGCGCGCTCCATCCGTGTGATTGTTGCACACTTTGAACATTTTTCGAAGGAGGAAAAAGCCACCCGGACCCGATGATTGGCGTTTATTGAACGGCCTTGGGCGTTTACTAAACAGCCTTGCCCTATTCGACTGCTTCTTTGGGCGCGTTTGCTGAACGGCCTCGCTCGTCGGGGCGGTGATTATTATGGGGGTGGCTGTTGTGCCCCCGAACTCGGTGCTACGCTTGAGGGTGCTCGACGCAGCAGCACCCGTTGGAAGCGAAGCCGCCCTCCATGCGTGTCTCTGGTCGACGCCTTCCGGGGCGAGCGCACGCGCCGCGCCAATGCCAGAACCCCCTCCTTGAAAGCGCGGCCCCTCCTCTGCCCGTGCAGGCTGCGGGGCGGGCTCGAGCCGCGCGTGCGCGGGCGCCGCGGGGAACGCGCCCCGCTTCGAGGGCTGCCCGCCCTCCGCCCGCGCAGCTGCTGCATCCGTCCTGCGACGCGCGTGCGCGCGGCGTCCTGTTGTCTCTCGATGCCCCCTCTCTCTCTCGTGTGCAATTTACTCTCGATTCCCCCCTCTCTCGTGTGCAGTTTCGGCTCCTGCGGGTCAGCGGCAGCTCTGGACGGCGCGCGGCTCCTCCGTTTGCGGTCGCGATCCAAAAAACAGCGTGCGCGGCGCCCTCCGCCCTCCCCCCGCGCAGGCTGTGGAGCGGGCTCGGGCCGAGCGTGCGCGGCGCCGCGGGGGGAGAGGGAGAGCCCCCATTAGGGGTCCACATGCGAACCCTACCCCTACCCCCCACGATTTTTGAGGGGGAGGGTGGGGTTCACTTCGCTCGGGAGCTCCCGAACGAAGTGAACCCCACCCTCCCTCTCAGAAATCGTGGGGGGTAGGGGTAGGGTTCGCATGTGGACCCCTACCCGTTCCTGGAGAGCTGCCCGCCCTCCGCCCGCGCAGCTGCTGCCTTCCTTGCCTGCGGCGAGCGCGCGCGGCGCCCCGGCGAGGGAGCCCCCCGGTGGAAGCGGGCGCGCGCCCTCCGCCCGTGCGCGGCGAGAGCCCGACGGCACGCGGGCGGAGAGGACGTCCCAGGCGACGCGCACGGGCCCACCCCGGCGCCGCGTCTGGGCGGCGTGGCGCACGAGGGGGACGGGGGGCCTCCGGACGGAAGGGGGGGCGGGGCACGGGGGGGGGGGCAGGGCGAGAGCGGGCAGGACGAAAGGGGGGCAGGACGCAATGGGGGGAGGACGCAAGGGTGGAGGACGCAAGGGGGGATGGGGCAGGACGAAGAACATGAGGAGGGCATAGGGGAAACGGGAGGAGTTGCACGGAGCGTCTCAGCCCCGCCGCCGGGCGCCTTCCTCAGCACTCTGGCGCCTGCGGCGGTGGAGGCGCAGAGGAACTCGAGTACGCGAGTGGATCCGCTGACCTTTCCTCCCTCTGCGATCCCCCCCCTCTTTTCGCCCGACCCAGTCTCTTCCTGCCTTTCCTAGAAGAAGCCGGCAGCAGGGCAGGCCCCGACCGCGTTCGGCGCGACGGAGGAGCTCGCCGAAAGCGACGCCATCTTTGAGGAGCGCCGTGGCCCGACGGCACGGGCGGAAGAGGAACAGCGGGAGGAGGGCTGAGGAGGAGGGGTCTCCGCTGCTTGAGGCCGGCGGCCGAGTGGGGGTGGTGTCGGTGGCCGAGTCTCGGGGTGCCATCTCGAGGCACCTCGCAACGGGGGCCGCAGATGTGACGCCTGGGGCGCGTCTGTGCCGCCATTCATGTTGGTCTGTCTGGGCAGAATAAACCAAGCATGCGCACACGATGTAGAGATACACCTTACGTCCCAAGCACCCACCTCATACGCTTTTACAGATCCTCTTGCTCCCTACTACAACAAGAGGCGCCCCCCTTGAAGGACCAGCGCACATGAACCTTCCATTTTCGCGAGGGTGCGGATTTGAACAGAAACCGCCTTGCAACTTATTGGCGCGTAGCCAGGCAAACGATGAACAGTGTTCATACAATTCAACGAGGCGTCAAGCAACAAAAACCTTCTCGAAGAAGGACAGCCCCCCACCCGTGCAACTGTTGAACATTTCTACCATTGATGAGTGTCGAGAGTTTCTGCAGCGAGAGCTCTATTTGAACAAGAGCCGCCATGGATCCCTGCAGGGCTAGGTTTATGGACGTTTCGGTTCTTTCAACTGAACGAACTCGTAGGCGAGAACTAGATGTTGACAAATCGAAGTGAAGTCGCTCATTATGTGAAGCGTTGGCACATGCCGCACGGAAAAAGAAGAGACTGCGCGCGGCGTCGAGGCGATGGCCCCATTTCGAGAACGACCAATGCTCTACAGGTGGACCTGCTACCGAATTATGATGTGATTGCTCGCGGTGTTCAGGCGAGAGCCCCATTTGAAGGATCCGCCCCTCATCCATGAGTCGAACGCAGCCGTGATTTTGATAAGCACAACACTTGGCGCGAAGGCGGGAACACATTTTCGGAACGACCTCCCTTCAATGCGCGAAGCGGCTGCAAACTTCTACAAGCGATGGGCGCGGCACTAAGCCGACACCTACGTTTTGAGAGCACCCGTTTCTTTCCGTGAACGTCTCTTGAAACCCACTCTCTCCATAGTTGGACATGTTGCGGATGTTCACGACGAGTGCGCGCGGCGCTCCAGCGAGAGCCACATGCTTTAACTACTCCTCCGTCGGTACGTGGAACTGCTGCAAACTGTTAAGACGGCTGTGCGCGGCGCAAAAGCGAGAGCGGCATGCTGACAATTGTCATTACACCGTGATGTTGCTGCACACTTGAAGTTTCAAACTCCCCAATTGTGAAGAAATCTGGACGACAAGCCCGTCCCACACTACAGAGACGCCGGGGGGAACGATAGCGAGGAGTTCTAAAATGAGTGGAAGAGGGGGAGAAGGATAACGCAAAAAGATAACGCAAGAGGAAGGGGAGGGGGGACGCGGAAATGCAGTATTGAGGGTGAGCAAGGAGGAGTGCGGGGGGGAGGAAGGAGAGGAGGAGGGTAAGTGGCAGTGGATGGCGAGGTGGAATGAGCTGGATGAGGAGAAATGAAAAGGAAGGAGGGGCGAGGGAGGATGTGAGGGGAGCAGAGTGAACGTACCTCCTTGCCGCTTTGTGTTCGCGTGGTCGTGACGCCCGACGGAACATCGAGTCCCAGTGTTTCCGTTTCCGTGGGCCCCCCCCCGCGTCTACTCTTCCCCCGTGTGTGGGTTTGAGGTTGTCTTTCCCCCGCCTCTCCTTTCCCCACGCCCCTTCGTGCCCAATTCGTTCCTGGCGAACCCTGCCGGTTGCCCGAACGAAGCTTGTACTTGTTCCGTGTTTCTCTTCCTCTTCGAATCGCCATCGCCCTACTTATCTCGACGACGCCATCAGCGTCGGCGCAGGCATCTGATGAACACTGTCGCTCCAGCTTGGCGCGGCGCGGGAAAAAACTTCACATGCCCCACACGGCATGACACCAAGACTCTGCACTGCCCCCGATCAGCTCACTTGAGCAAGCAAAGGGCTCACGACACTTGCGCAGTCCAGGTCAGGTGCTTCCAGGAGGTTCTACGGGCCCCTTGTTCATAACCAGCAGTATCCTGAATGCAGCGCGGGGGCGCATCTCCCGTGCAACGTACTCTTTCGCATAAGCGTATTTCTGCACGTCGAGAGACAGACCAGCGACGTTGCCGTGCGCCCCATTGTTCCCTGGGCAGCCGCAGGGTGCATGGAGGCCCTGCATGGAGGCCCTGCGACAGCATTTGCAGGGCCAAGGCCAAGTCGGGCAAACTATTCTTCCCCCCGTGCATTTTGGTGGGGCGCAAAGTTGTCCAGAGGGTTGTCGCGTGGTTGTCCCGCGGTTGTCCGGTGGGTGTTCGAGTGAGTTGTCGCGGTGGTTGGTTTTGTCGGGTGAGTTGTCCCGCGGTTCGTTCTGAGGGTTGATATTGTGTTGTCCCTTGGGTTGTCCTGGGGTTTGTCCTGAGAGTTGCGCCGTGGGTTGTTCCGTGTGTTGCCCAGTGGTTGTCCCGTGGGGTGTTCCATGAGTTGTCCTGTGGATGTGTCGTGCTTTATCCCGTGGGTTGTCCAATGTGTTGTCCCGTGGGTTGTCCCGTGGTTTGTCCCGAGGGTTGTCCCTTGGGTTGTTTTGCTGTTGTTCCATGCATTGTCAGGTGGTTATTCCGCGGGGAGTTTCGAAGCAGTAGGTCGCGGCCTCGAGATATGTGGATACCCAGGTATCGATCATTTCGGTTCGTACATATACACATATCAAGTATCAAACTATAGGTACAGGTAGGCATAATGAATGTACGTGCATTGTCATCTGGAAAAACAGACGATGCACCATGTGTGTCTCCTCGAGGCGTGCCTGGCATGGAGCAGCAAGTCTCGTCGTTCAAGGCTGCTTGCGCCACGATGGATGCCATCGTTCTGACCAAACATGGCGCCAGGCGGCTCCGAGAGGCTCATTCAGACCTGCAAAAGCACGAGCTTGCATACGGGGCGGGCCATGCAACCCCGAAGCACCACGCGATGTACGACGCGGCCGACCAGTGGGAGGCCAGCTCAGTCGTCATTGACGCGTTTGTGATAAAGATGCTCCACTTGCGAGTGAAGGCAGTTGCAGCTCCTACAGTCGGGGCCCTGAAGAAGGAACCCTTTTCGTTGGGGAGGGGCTCCGCGTTCCTTAATTTTTTCGCAGCTTGCCTTGGATTTTCCTTAGGTTTTCGACGTGAAATCGAAGTTTAAGTTATGGAAAATAGGGGCCTCGTTCCTTATTTAGGGTTCCTCAGGTCAACGCCCAAGAGGTTCGGGGCTGGCCAACGTGAAACGGAGCCCCCCCCAGCCGCGAAATCGAGTGCGGCTTCGGTCCGCGTCGTGCGTGGCGCGTGGGCGAGGCGAAATTGCACAAGTTCCTGCACCAGAATGAGCTGCCTCTTGGCCTGCTGGGACGGCCGTCGGGTCGTCGCGCGGTTGCCCGTTAGTGGCCAGTGGTTGCTCTGTGGTTGTCCCACTAGTTGTCCCGATGGTTGGCCACTGTTTATCCCCATCCATGGTTGCCCCAATGGTTGCCCCGTGTTCGTTTGTCCTGGTGGTTGTCCCGATGATTGTCCCAATGTTGTCCAGCGGTTGTCTCGATGTTGTCAAAATGACGGTTTCGAGGGTTGTCCCGATGGTTGTCCATATCGTTGTCGCGATCGTTGTCCCGATAGTTGTCTTGCTGGTTGTTCCGACGGCTGTTTCGATAGTTTCCCTGATGGTTGTCCCGGCGGTTGTTCCGATAGTTGGCACGATTGTTGTTCCGTTGGTTGTCCCGGTAGTTGCCCCGATTGTTGTCCTCATTGTTGTCCTCATTGTTGTCCCGCGGTTGTCCACTGGTTGCCCCGTGATTTTTCAAATGGTTGTCACGATGCCCAATGGCTGTCCCGTTGATGCTCCGTAATATAGAATTGGCCCCCACACCAACCTCACCATAGATGTTGCTAAATCAGTGTGTATCTTGAAAGCGAGAGAGAGAGAGAGAGACAAAGAGAGAAAGAGAGAGAGAGAGAGACAAGCAGACAGACGCCTGTGCGAGACAACCAAAATGACAGGCCACAGGACAACCACGGGACTCCACAGTACACGGCACCACGTGCGGCACACATGGCGACCAGCTTGGCCCCAGCCTCGGCCCGACTGCACGGCACGACCGACTTGGTCCTAGCATCGTCGCGCAGCTTCACCGTGCCCGCACGCACGACACGAAGCGAAACCGACACCGATCTTCCGTTTGGGGTCGCTGCGTTCACATCCGCCCCAAATTCGGATCAAACCCACGAAGTTCCAAGACTGGATCGCCTTGCAGCCTTCGAGTGGTATGATAAAATTCCCTCGCGCCGCGTCAGCGAGCCCCACCCATCCCTCCCCCAGCTTTTCCTGTCCTTCCCCTCCCCCCACCCTTTCTAACGCTATCCCTCCACTCCTCCCCCCTCGCCCCTCTTGCACCTCCTCTCTCCAACTGCTTCGCTACCCTCTGGTCCCTCCTCCCACCTCCCACCTCCGTTTCCTCCTGATCCTCCATTTCCTCCTCCTCTTCCTCCTCCTCGGTCTCATTTCCTCCTCCTCCTCCCCCTGCCTCCCTTCCCCCCCTGCCCCCATTGTGCCTCAATATCGAGTTCGGTCTCCTCCCTCTTCGCCCCGCCCTACTACGTGTCCCTTTGTCTTGATTGTGAGTTGTTCTCTCTCTCTCTCTCTCTTTCTCCCTCTCTCTCTCTCTCCATTCGGCTCTATCGTGGGTTATCTTGTTGGTTGGCTGTTGCCCCGCGGTCGTCCCGTTGGGGTTGTCCCGTGGGTTGTCCCCTGGGTCATCCCCTGGGTTGTCCCGTGGTTATCCCGTAGGTTGTTTAGTGAATTGTCATGTCGGTTATTCTATGTGAGTCCCGTGGGTAGTTCCATTGCTGTCGCGTGGGTTGTTTGGTGGGTTGTCCCGTAGGGTGTCCTCGTGCGTTGTCCCGTGGGTTGCTCAGGGGTTGTCCCGTGGATACCCCGTGGGTTGTCAAGCACAAAGGTCTTCACTGGCAACCTCGCGGGTACTAGGAAAGCCAGTGCGCCCCGCCCCCGGACCTCCTTATCATCCGAGGGGTGGCCTATAACTTGGCATCGCTCGGACGTGTGCATTTTTCCTTCGGCGAGGACCATCGAGGAGCATCCTTGATCACTTGGCGCAAAAAACACGCACGAAACCGAAAAAAACATAGGGAATGGACGTCCGAGCGATGGCCAGATAAGGTATATCGCGACACCATCCGACCGCCGTTGTATTGCTCAAGCGCGTTACCGCGTTCAGTTTCTTGTTGTGGTCATTGCTCTCTCGTTGTCCCCCTCAAAGCCTTCTCCCCTCCCCCTCGTTCCTGCCTGCCTCTCCTGCCTCCGCCTCCTCCTCCCATCATTCCTCCGCCCTGGTCCTATTCTTCTCCCCTATGATCCGTCACCCCCTCGTCGACACAGCCCCGTTGTTCCTCCCTTTTCTTCCTTCCCATTATCCCCTCTTCGTGATCACACACTCGCCCCTCGTCCCCTCCGCCTTCCCCTCATGCTTCTGCCACCCCCTGCCCCTCCTCCCCTCTCCTCTCCACCAGCTCGAAGCCGCTGTGGCATGTTTTGCTCACGTTTCGTTGCCATTCCGAGCACGCGCTGACCGCAGTGCCACCACCCACCACCTCCTTCCCTCCATCTCTCCACGCCTTCCTCCGCAACAGGGGAGGGGAGGGGAGATCCTCCTGCTCCTCCTCGGACAAGCCGGGCCGCTGTGTCAGCAGCCGGAATTCGAGGACCCCTGCTTCTTCTATGGTGACCTGGCTCCTCCTCGGACAAGCCAGACCTCCCGCACCCGACGAAGGCGTGTCCTGGATCCTGGGGAAGAGCGTCATCCCGAGTCGGTGTCTGGAGGTCCTGGGGGCCCGTGAAGGATCTCGTCGCCGGATCTAGTGTGGGGCCCAGGCCATCCCGCACTCCCCCTCCTTCTCCTCCTCCTCCTCCTCCTCCTCCTCCTCCTCCTCTGGAGGGCCTCCGAGGGGAGAAGAAATCCTCCTCCTCCTCCTCCTCCTCCTCCTCCTCCTCCTCCTCCTCCTCCTCCTCCTCCTCTGGGGACCCGTTCTGCCCCCCCCCGTCCCCCCGAGCGGGCCGACAACAAACACACGACCGCAGGAGCTGGCGCGGCACCTCGGCGGGCGCCTGCTGCAGGGCCGGCCCGCGCTGCGGCGCCAGAACTGGGCCGCCGTCACGGAGGCAGCTCGGCCACGCGCGCAGGGGGGTAAGGGGCGGGGGGAAGGCTTCTTAGAAGCGCCCCTGCTTCTTCGAAGGTGCGGGCCGTGTCTATAGATGTGATGCCGGGCCCTTGGAAGAAGCAACCTGCTTCTAAGAAGCCTTCCCCCCTCCCACTACCCCCTTTGTGCGCGCCGCCAAGCAGCGGCGCCGGCGGCCGACGGCCGTCGTCGCCGTCGTGGTCGTCGTCGCTGTCGTGGTCGTGGCTCTCGTAGCCTCAGAGAGGAGGATGCTAATCAGAGTGAGTGGGTCGAACGGTCACTCATTGTCCGTGGGCGCTTGGCTGAATTGGGATTATGTGGCCAAGTTTGTTGTTGTTGTTGAACATTATTACTTCTAAAGAATAATTATTGTTGGGACCTCTGGTGCACGGCCCCCCCGCCGCGCCTAGGCCGCAGCCACATTTTCATCATTTTCGTGAGGAAGTCTCAGGCAAAACGATGTGATCCAGATCCGGTTGTTTTGTTCCCCCCCGCTTTCCCTTGCAAAAAACAATATAAAATGACATTTCTTGTTCTAACATAACCAAACTTCAAGAATCCCTTGCAAAAAATAAGGTACAGTGGACATTCGCGCGCGCAAGACGAAATCCTTCCAAAACCTTAGTTTTCGTAGCGATTTTAACATAAAAACATCAAAAACCAATGGTTTTTTAAAAACAAATTGTCAAAATTTCATCCCGCGCGCTCTTGCGGATTCGTAGGAAACCCAACACTTTTTAAACATTTTTGTCAAACGGGCTTTTGCGAGCAACTTTTTCGAACTTCTGCAACAACGGTTGCGCACCTGCCAGGGCCATCATCCCTGTCAAATAATACCATGCGGGACACATTCGTTTTTTCTTCGCGCGCGCACGCCGTCGTCGTCGGCCGCGGGGCCCTGAATAGTAGCCACGGTCGTCCGCATGCCACGAAGTGAAGTGTCCGAACGTCATAGGGCGGGAAGCTGGGTGTGGGTGGTGGCGAAGAGTCGTTTGGAAATTTGGTAGAGCTTGAACCGGCCCCCCCACAAAGTGGGGGTATTGCCCGCCTCCTATGAAAACCCTGGCACTGGTGAGAACGGAGTGTCCCCACGTGCTAGTAATTGTTGTTGAACATTATTACTTCTAAAGAATAATTATTGTTGGGGCCCCTGGTGCATGGCCCCCCCGCCGCGCCTAGGCCGCAGCCTCATTTTCATCATTTTCGTGAGGAAGTCTCAGGCAAAACGATGTGTCCAGATCCGGTTGTGTTGTTACGATCGGTTTTCCCTTGCAAAAAATAAGCTAAAGTGGACATTTCTTGTTCTAACATAACCAAACTTCAAGAATCCCTTGCAAAAAATAAGGTAAAGTGGACATTCGCGCGCGCAAGACGAAATCCTTCCAAAACCTTAGTGTTCGTAGCGATTTTAACATAAAAACATCAAAAAACCAATGGTTTTTCAAAAAACAAATTGTCAAAATTTCATCCCGCGCGCTCTTGCGGATTCGTAGGAAACCCAACACTTTTTAAACATTTCTGTCAAACGGGCTTTTGCGAGCAACTTTTTCGAACTTCTGCAACAACGGTTGCGCACCTGCCAGGGCCATCATCCCTGTCAAATAATACCATGCGGGACACATTCGTTTTTTCTTCGCGCGCGCACGCCGTCGTCGTCGGCCGCGGGGCCCTGAATAGTAGCCACGGTCGTCCGCATGCCACGAAGTGAAGTGTCCGAACGTCATAGGGCGGGAAGCTGGGTGTGGGTGGTGGCGAAGAGTCGTTTGGAAATTTGGTAGAGCTTGAACCGGCCCCCCCACAAAGTGGGGGTATTGCCCGCCTCCTATGAAAACCCTGGCACTGGTGAGAACGGAGTGTCCCCACGTGCTAGTAATTGTTGTTGTTGTTGTTGTTGTTGTTGTTGTTGTTGTTGTTGAACATTATTACTTCTAAAGAATAATTATTGTTGGGACCCCTGGTGCACGGCCCCCTCGCCGCGCCTAGGCCGCAGCCATGTTTTCATCATTTTCGTGAGGAAGTCTCCGGCAAAACGGGTTGGTCCGGATCCGGTTGTTTTGTTCCCCCCCGCTTTCCTTTGCAAAAAACAATATAAAATGACATTTCTTGTTCTAACATAACCGAACTTCAAGAATCCATTGCAAAAAATTACACAAAGTGACATTCGCGCGCGCAAGACGAAATCCTTCCAAAACCTTAGTGTTCGTAGCGATTTTAACATAAAAACATCAAAGAACCAATGGTTTTTCAAAAAAAAGTGTCAACATTTCATCCCGCGCGCTCTTGCGGATTTGTAGGAAACCCAACACTTTTTAAACATTTCTGTCAAACGGGCTTTTGCGAGCAACTTTTTCACGTGCTTCGAACTTCTCCAACAACGGTTGCGCACCTGCCAGGGCCATCATCCCTGTCAAATAATACCATGCGGGACACATTCGTTTTTTCTTCGCGCGCGCACGCCGAAATCTTCAAAAACCATTGGGTTTCTTAGGAATTTTAGCACCGCGCAACATAAAATCATACGAATCGCACCGTAGGGTCTCGAAAAACATCTGTACGAATTTTCAAAATTTCTACCCGCGCGCGCTGTCCGAATCTGGGTTGGTACCCATGCGCCAGTGTAGTAGCCACGGTCGTCCGCAGGCCACGAAGTGAAGTGTCCGAACGTCATAGGGCGGGAAGCTGGGTGTGGGTGGTGGCGAAGAGTCGTTTGGAAATGTGGTAGAGCTTGAACCGGCCCCCCCACAAAGTGGGGGTATTGGCGGGCGTCGTATGAAAACCCTGGCACTGGTGAGAACGGAGTGTCCCCACGTGCTAGTAATTGTTGTTGTTGTTGGTGTTGTTGGTGTTGTTGTTGTTGTTGTTGTCGTCGTCGTCGTCGTCGTCGTCGTCGTCGTCGTCGTTGTTGTTGTGTTGCTGCTGCTGTTGTTGCTAGTACCTCATTCCTGAAAGAATATTGTTGATCCCTCTCCCTGGTGAACACTACTCTTTTCAATTCAAGTGTTTATTCCGGGGCTCGTACCCTGTTTTTACAAGCGACAGCAGGGTGGCACCAAACTGTGTTGTTGGCCCCCATTTAACAACAACAGCAACAACAACAACGGTTCCCGCCTGATCCGTCCTCAACATTAATTTCCCAATCGCGTTCTCACGCGGGACCTCCTGACAATGTATACCAGAGTCGCGCTCTCGCGGGGGACTTCCTTGCACGCACGCCTCAGCTACCCGCCTCCACCTTGTCCCTTCTTTCCATCCATCCTCTCTTCCCCTACTTTAGGGGGCTGCACGAAATACACGTTGCAGGTAAGAAATATATACCCCTGAGGGGGTACGGTCGAAGACGAAGAGGGCGGGTATTGAGGATTTGAGATATACGTGTTGAATGGCACGGGAGAGCAAACACTCTTAATATGACTGTGGTTGTTGCTGTCGTTGTTGATGTTGCTGTTGTTGTTGGTGGTGGTGGTCGTGGTGGTGATGGTGGTTGCAAGTGTGTGATCCCCCCCCTCTGGGGCACATGGTGTAGTTTCAATTGAAATGCCCTTCCCGGTGCTCGCACCCTGTTCCCAGAAAGGGCGTCGGCCTAGGGTTCTCTTTGAGTTGGTTAAGCCCCCGGCCTCGACTCGAAGAGGGCCCGCGGAATTATTCTGCGATAAATGACGAGGTAGAAGAAGGCCGGTGAAATTCTGTTTGAGGACGTCCCGAGCGAAACACTTGTGTTGCAGAAATTGTTGAGGATGTCTCGAGCGAAATGCTTGTTTTGTGTTATTGATTGTCCTCTCCTGGGGACCAGAATTCAGAGGACCTCTTAAGTGAAATGCTCTTTTTCGCGTGCACAGGTCTTGAGGATGTCTCGAGCGAGACGCTTGGTTTTACGCGTCCAGGTTGCCCAGGCAGATATCTAGCATGAGGATTTGTTGAGGATGTCTTGAGCGAGACGCTTGTTTTGACGCGTCCTGGTTGCCCAGGCGGATGTCTAGCATAGGATGTGTTGAGAATCTCTTGAGCGAAACGCTTAATTTCACTTGTCCAGGTCGCCCAGGCGGATGTCTAACATGAAGATGTGTTCAGGATCTCTCGAGCGAGACGTTTACTTTCACGTGTCCAGGTCGCCCAGGCAAATATCTAGCATGAGGAGGTGTTGAGAACGTCTCGAGCGAGACGTTTGTTTTCACGTGCCCAGGTCACCCAGGCGGACGTCTAACATGAAGATGTGTTGAACATGTCTCGAGCGAACCACGTGTTGTCACGTCCTGTTCGCCCAGGCGAATGTCTAGCATGAGGATGTGTTGAGGACGTGTTGAGCGAAACGCTTGTTTTCATGTGTCTAGGTCGCCCAGGCGGATGTCTAGCATGAGGATTTAGGCAGGATGTCTCGAGTGACACGCTTGTCCCCAGCACGTTCCGTAGCGCGTCCCCTTGGCACGTCCCGCGGTGCGTCCCCATGGCACGTCCCTTGGCACGTTGCCTGGGAAGTCCCATGGGGCGTTCTGCAACGCGTCCTCCTGGCATGTCCCCTTGTCAATTAGCTCTGGGGCAGCTACTATGTGCTCAGGCAGCTCGAGCTTAAGATCCAGATCAGTTCGGTCAGGACTCGGATGCAAAGGAGTACTCGACCCACAATGATATAGAGCACAATCGCGGCATGGCACATCGCAATTCAACACGGCGCAGCACAGCACAGCCCTCGGCACGGTACGCTAAGATCGGTACACTCAGCATTGCAACCTGGCACGTTCCGTGGCGCTTCCAGTGGCGAGTCCCACTGGCACATCGCGCGGCGCGTCCCCTGGCACGTCCCGTGGCACGTCCATTGGCACGTTCCGTAGCGCGTCCCCTTGGCACGTCCCGCGGTACGTCCTTGCGTCCCGCAGCACAGCACAGCCCTCGGCACGGTACATCAAGATCGATACACTCAGCATTGCATTTGTCCATCGCCCAATCAGGTGTCTTTGAAACGTTGCGATGTCTCACATTTCCAGATTA